GCGGTTACCCAGCGGACTCTCCTGTGTCTTCTTCCTTCTCCGATCTTCTTGCGTTAGTATGGCCCCGTATGATCGACATACGGATCGAGTACCAATTACGTTGCGTCCGGCAAGAAATCCTCCAGGTTTATGATGATCACTGGCACCAAAATGTAACGTTGAATTAAGAGTTCATTGCATTACATACATGTGTATGTTTAAAAACTCCGTATGTACTAAAAACTCCTTCTGTATATGCATCAGAAGGTAGAATGCACAATTTCAAGCTGAAAATGCAAACGCTCCCTGGTGTGGGAGGGGGGTGCGCCCACTCGGTCGCTCCGCTCCCTCGCATAATCTCACTCTCAACTCTATCAAGCTCTACTCAACTCTAACTCAACTCTAACTCAACTCTAACTCAACTGCTAACTCAACTCTAACTCAACTCTAACCTCAAATCCTACTACTCAACACTCTAACTCAACGCCATATGTTAATGCGGAAGATGCTGTTCATATTAATGAGGAAGATGCTGTTCATATTAATGAGGAAAGATGCTGTTCATATTAAATGAGTAGAAGGCATGGATGTTCATATTAACTGTTCATATTGTATATTGGGAAGATGCTGTTCATATTAATGAGGAAGATGCTGTTCATATTAATGAGGAAGATGCTGTTCATATTAATGAGGAAGATGCTGTTAATATTAACACTGTTCATAGATTAATGGAAGATGCTGCTTCAATAAGATTAAACTGTTCATATTAATGAGAAAGATGCTCCCGGTCACACCAAATTCCATATAGCTTTGCAGAGGACTTCTCTTCGCTCTTGCCCAGTTTCTCTCCCTAGTAAAATAATATTGTGTTTAACGTTATACATTTAAACTACTCGTGCCTTTCTTTAATAATCATAGGGGCCTTGGCTGAACGAACCATAGGCATATCAGAGCGCGTATATCATATAAATATTTACATAGTGAAAATAAATAAAGAATACAAATCAATAATCAATGATATATATATATATATAATATATCGACGCCTATTGGTTTATTTAAATTACATTAGTGTTACGTCTTCTAGGGCTCTCTACCATTACCATAGTAGAAGAGTCGAACATCATTATTCATGTCGTTATTGCGAGAAATATTTACTCTCCATTTTAAACGTATAATCTCAACACAATATTATTTTATTGTGAAGATATTGAGCATGCGCGTATTGTCAAATTTGAGATCACTGGACGCCTTATGTTTATTAAAGGGCCAGTGACATCGCGCGCAAATTTATTGTTTATAGATGGTGCAATGGTTTTCGTTGGTCGGTATGTGCTCTTTAAATTAAAAGTATTACAACATCAGATCGCCATTTCAGTCGTTTGATAAAGACTGGGCTTACCACCGCATATTATACTTAAGATGAAAGAAATGCAACTTTTAGTGCGTGTGACGTTGGTGCGTCATTCTCTGTTGTCAACCATCAACAGGAAGCAAAAGCTTCAGCAGTCGTTGACGATAATGCATACAATTTTGATGACTTATGTACGAGGTCCTACAATTATTGCCACCAATTAAGTACGCTATTAATTTCACTCTACATTTTTATTATGAAATTTACATTAACAATCATAGAAAAATTATAATCAGCCTAACAAACATTTCCTAGTATCATAATTTATCTACATAGCTCAGACTTCTCAATAAATATGAACACACCTGTACAATAAAATTACATAATATTAAACTGTATTTCATTTCTCATATATGTATCTGTATGTATATATACACACGCACACACGCACGCACGCACGCACGCACGCACACACACATCAAGAGCTAATAATACCTAATAAGTAATACCTAATAGATAATACCTAATACCTAATAGGTAATACCTAATACCTAATAGGTATTATTAGCTCTTGAAATATATATATATATATATATATACACACACACACACACACATATATATATATGCAGCAGTTTGTATTCATGTGGCCGTTGTTTTACTAAGGGAACCACGAGCCTTATGATGAGCGGACAATAAAACACCTCCAATGACAATCGGTCACAGCGCCCGTCTTCTGCAAAGGTTTATTCCTAGTTTGGCACCACTGTGTATATAGTTCGCATATATGCTGGCGATAATGTCGATTGTCGAAGGGCCTCAGCGTAAACATGGCTAAAACCAAGATAATGATATCTGGTCCTAACCTAAACTCCCTGAGGGACTCCCAAGGGGGTTGGCCGTAATTGCATCTTGTGCAGTGGCTGTTCTCACTGGATTCACAAGAAGTGCAGCAATGTTCGTGACAAACTGTCCTCTGACCCTGCTTTTAGATGTAGTAGGTGCCTCGCCACAGCTTGTCCCATCGATGGCAGGCCCTGTGACCATGTGATGGTTGGTGACCATGAAGTGGCAGTTGTCGACTCCTTTTGCTATCTGGGTGACACTCTCTGTCCTGGTGGCGGCTGTGAGGCTGCCACAATTACAAGAGTAAGAACTGCTTGGGGAAAATTCAGAGAGTTACTACCTGTTCTGTCATGCAAGAGCCTGTCACTACACACCCGTGGTAAAGTCCACAACAGTTGTGTCAGGAGTGCCATGTTGTACGCCAGTGAATGTTGGCATTTGAGGAAGAATGACATGCTGCGTCTAGGGAGGAATGAGCGTGCGATGCTGAGATAAATGTGTGGTGCCAGAGGACAGAGTCAGCTCCGGTATCCTGCGTGAGAGGCTTAAGATTGAAGATCTGGAATCCACCCTTGGACGTAGGCGTCTGCGATGGTACGGCCATGTACAGCGGAGCGGCTCATGAATAAACACAGGCACCAGCCTCCATGTAGATGGATGTCAAAGAAAAGGAAGACCCAGAAAGTCGTGGAAAGAGCTTGTTCAGAAAGATATGAGAGTGTGGAACCTCACAGATGAGGACACGCTAGACAGGGTTAAGTGGAAGAATGTTCTAAGAACCACCACGCAACGTCCAACCTGCTAGCATGTGGGATGTGGACGTTAAACGGATATGATGATGATGATGATGATGATGAACTAATCCCGGGTGCTAAACTAGGATTGTGCAGCGTTGTGTTTGCGAGAAAACCTTCATACGTTTCAAATATCCAAACAACGTCGTCAATCGAATCCGACGAGATGCTTCACCTCCCTCAGCGTGACCTCGGCGACCTTCGCCGCCCGCTCCGCTCCCGCGTCGAGCACCGATCGCAGGTACGCGGCGTCGCGCGACAACCGCTCCATCTCGCCGCGAATCGGCTCGAACCTCGCGACGAGCGCGTCCGCGACGGCCATCTTGTACTGCGCCGTCTCGAGCCCGCGGCTCCGCACGCAGATCTCCGCCGCCGACAGCCCCGACGCCGCCGAGTGCACGGCGATGAGGTTCGCGAGCGCAGGTCGGTTCGCGGGGTCGAAGGTCACCTCAGAGGTGAAGTCGGTCAGTGCCTTTTTGACTTTGCCGCGTATCTGGTCGGGCGTGTCCGTGAGGTTGATGCGGCTTTTCGGATCCGGGTCGGACTTGCTCATCTTCTGAGCGGGGTTTCTCAGGCTTCTTACGCTGGCGACTTCTCCTGGGGAGAGAGAGAGGGCGATGTCGTGTCCCAATCGGAGAGGATAACCTTCAACACTTGTATCTGACTCAAACTACGGCAAGGTTGTTCAACAACAAGTATGGAGAATGCTTCCCGATACCACACGCACTGCAAGGTGAGGTAAAGGTGGTAATTACACTTTCATATTAGCACAGCACTTAATATATATATATTAAATAAAGGACGTCTCTCTGTCGTGCATATCGACAGAGAGGTCACCAAAGGCTCAAATGTATACTTCATGTATGTGTGCTACAACTTATATAATATATATATATATATATATATCTGTATCAAAAGCTAATATTACTGTTATTATAATATTATTAGCTCTTGATTGTATATTATAATTACACAAGTTGTAGCACACACACGTAGTAGTATACATTCGAGCCTTTAATAACCTCTTTGCATGCTTCATGCCTGTTTAACTACCAACTTTCCCTGGTAGTCCTGTGAAGTAATCAGAAGTGATCAGATCGCCCAATGGTCAAAGCATCTTCAGGCAAGCCAACATAAGCTTTCACTCAGACCCCAACGAGGCATATGGCCGACGTGGTTATGCCTAAATCGCCTCAGAACAGGTTTTGGTCGATGCAGGGCACTCATGCAGAAATTGAGATACACTGAAGATGGCCCAACCGAATGCGACTGCGGGGTGGACCAGACTTTGGGACATCTCCTGAAATGACCCCTATTACCAGAGGTCATGTGTGCTGCAGTGGCTAGGCCGAGTGTTGTGTAGCGACCCAAGAAGATGAAGAAGACGAAGAAGATCAGAAGTGTAAAGGGCTTCATAATGACTGGCTACAGTGAAGCTAGATAGTAACCTAAACCAGATGTAATAACACTAAATTATAGGGTCCGGTGCACTCCTCTATAGCCCGTATAATTTTATTTTAAAACATTTTACGTATATCAGGTCACAGGTGTCAACTACTTTATTGGCTCTGCATATTTCGATGAATATTACTAAGTCGTATCGTCCACAGTATGAGGTTTTATCCTTATATATGTATATATCCTGTGCCCAGGTGATGATCAATTACATTACAATCCATCTACTTTACGTTGCTTACTAGAAACACGTACGTACTTGTACAGAAGTATGTCGGCTGATTGCAGAATTGGATAGATGTACAAGCCAAGAGGCACCTCCTTTAACTTTCCAGATTTCTCCTGGAAATCACAGGTAAGTATAACTTTAAAAAAAAAAAATATTGAAGCTAATACATAACATAGGAATAGCTTTTCGCATGCCAGTGGTGCATCCCATTAAAAAGGATACTTCTCCAATAACAAAACCAGGGAAAGAATGACAAATGCAAGAAGCTTAATGAAATGAAAGTGTCAAATGACACTGTAGCTCACCANTCCTTTAACTTTCCAGATTTCTCCTGGAAATCACAGGTAAGTATAACTTAAAAAAAATAAAAAATTGAATCTAATACATAACATAGGAATAGCTTTTCGCATGCCAGTGGTGCATCCCATTAAAAAGGATACTTCTCCAATAACAAAACCAGGGAAGGAATGACAAATGCAAGAAGCTTAATGAAAAAAATGAAAGCAGTTATCTTGGGTTTGGCTATGATACCCTCGTGATGGATGCTTGTTACTTTTACAAATCGTTCATATATGATTGATTAACCTTTTTAACGATCAAGTGCTTTCTAGCCCGAGTACGTATGAATAATACTGAACAACAAATAATCACTTGCAAAATGCTGTACACATATTTCGAGTACGGCTACCATCCAATTTGCTAGTAGATTTTATATTAAAGCACTGCAATCATCATCTGATGAACAACTATTTCTACAAATGGCAATTACCTTAAACATGGGAAGCCGAGCAAGACGGGCCATAGTTGTATGGCAACCTAGTATCCAGCTGAGCTCTGCATGTGCTGGGACCTGTAAAATATCGTGGTTATCATAGCTGTAAGAATGGATTTTTCTTGAAGGACGAGTCGGATTGCTACCAGGATTGACCAACAATATTATAGTAGATGTAGGTAGATCACTTAGCCTACTTTTAATTTATTAACATCTAGTAGTTAACCAATTAAAGTTACAAATTGAATTAATGACCAAGTCAGCAATGCTTTAAATTGGTTTTTTGTAAATCACAAAATTAAACTATTCCCAGATGTTCACATCACTTTCACAGTTACCTGTAGAATAATGAACACTTAAAGTTCAACCTATTGTTATAACAAACCTGTACAGTTCACTTGATTATTGTCTACTTACCGATGACTGTTGAAAAAGAATGCTTCGTGTTGGATCTACACCACACGCCAGTAAGCAAGCAGTCATGTCCAGGATGCTCTTTCTGTTGTTTTGCAAAAACGACATAAATAATAAAAAGGAATTATAATGGTAACCAAATGTTTACTTCTTCTCTTCTTCTTAAGTCACCCAATGCCGTGCGGCGTCGGTGAAGTATTCACAAAGTTCGAACTCCATAGTCCTCGATCGACCATTACGGCGTAAAGGTTTGCTCCTGTGAGGCCGGTGTCCCTCTCGATGACTGATTTCAGGGTTCAATGTTTACTTACTACAAGGTTTAGTAAAGAGATTTTGCAGTAAATTTAGTTTCAATTGGCTACGTTTAATTTCTTTACCTACTTGAAGATAATG